GGAGGAGTAACCTGTTGGCGGTTGGTCGGTGTCGCAGGTACGAAACGTCTTTCGGACGGTCGGGGGAGGATCTGGGGTTCTGCGTGGCAGCAACAGTCAGGCTGCCTAACGCGATGCTGTCGTCCTCTTTTTCTTCAGCAGGTTGGTTGAAAAGCCCAAACTGCTAAAAGCTTTTCTGGCTCCAAGAGGACCGTGGCAGAGGTGGTGCTGCTGAGGAGTGCCTGACAGAAGAGCTATGTCCTTGTTTCCTTTAAAGTAGAAGGACTCAAAACAACCTAAAGCAAATTTCTTGGCTTACTGCACCAGGCCTGTGTCCCATCATCATCATCGCTATGATGATGGTTTACAGATTTTAAATAAAAAACCACAATTTTTTGGTAGTGTGGGTTTTCTTTTCTTTCTTTCTTTCTTTCTTTCTTTTTTTTTTTTTTTTTTTTTTTACAAACGAAAAGCCTCTAATCCTCTAGCTATATTTATCAGTGCTTTCTAAAAGAGTTGTACGCTCATCACAAATCAGTCGTTGTAGGCCTGGAGTCTGAATTAGCGAAAAGAAAAACAGGAAGAAACTGAAGAGAGGAATCAACAGAAAAAACTATTTAAATGTTCTAAATTGCCTAACACACAAACAGTAAATTCTCATGTTTTTGACCAGGTGTTTGAGGAAACAGAAGTGTGAAGTGGTGAAAAGGGCATCGACTGTTCAGGGTAGGGTGGAAGGTAAAGGAGAACTTATGTGGGGTGAAGGATAGCAGGTCAACGATGGCATCTCTCTGTCCCAGCAGAGAACGGCGGGTAGCATGTAGGCCGGCTGAGATGAGCAGCAGGAAGAATAAGTACTGAAGACTAGGCAAGGCCTGAAAAGTAAAGATGAGGATTACACGCTTTAAAGAGGAAAGGTGAGTGTTCCTGACGGCATTCACCTTAAAGAGGAAAGGTGAGTTCCCCTGAAGGCGTTCATGTGCCCAGAAGAGGAAGATGTATGATAATTATCAAGTAGGTATTTTGAAAATTGAGTTTGTAATACTCCCGGCAATGTCAAACCACAAAGTAAACTGAATTTTTGCAGCAAAGTGCAGACTTTAGAAACTTTTGACTATAGTCAGTCAGATTAGGTGCAAAAATGAGTGATATAATTCAAAATCTCAGCACTTGACTGAGAGAGTGAAGTGATCACTGTTAAATGAGAAAATGGTAAAGTAAGAGATTCTAGGACTAAAAGCTAAAGTTCTATTTTTGTCATGTTTGGTTTCAAGCAGCAAGGTCAACTATAGGAAGAAATACAGCCCTGAACTAGTAGGTAGGAAGAGTGTGAAAATCATCAGCATTGAAGAGATTGAATGAAGTCGCTGAGAGGCCAAGGCAGAGGGAGGAGAGAGGAGAAGAAAAGAAGTATATCAAAGACAGAAACCAGCAGAGTGAGTTTTCCTGGTATTTGCATAAGTTAGCACCTGTATTGCTTGCAGCTGGAAGAGCTTATGTGTGTGCAGTGGGGGGCGGGGACCTTCTTTCCCCGGGAAACACAAGGGTTACTGTTTTACATATGAACTAGGCCTGTTGACAGAAAATGACTCTAGTTCTGTGTTAATGCTCACGCACTTACACTGTGGATGCTATTGATGCTATTCCTTCCATCAGGGAAGGACTTAAAAGTTTTTCTTTGATTTCCCTGCAGGATCTCAGCTAATCTCCATGATAATATTACAGTTACAGTTCATTGTTTCCTTCAAGTGGGCCTGGAGAAAGGGTGTTACGTGGACCTAAATGCCCCACAATGCCTTTTCTACCTAGCTGTAGTGTTTGGTTATCAAGAATGAATGTGTTAATGTAGAGCTACTATATATAAAAGTTTCTTGCCTGAAATTTGGAACAGCATATTAATAAATTGTAAAACTACCATTGTTTTATTCAATGTTTCTAAAATAATCACAAAGTTATTTCTGTGAAGAGAAAATGTCTAGGTTAATATTGTTAGATATATGACTTTAAAATCATGTTGTATAAGAAATCACAAACCACAAACACCAGCCCAGATTTATAGGCAAGGAAACGATAAGGTAGTTTAGACCACTAAATGAGTTAAGTATAATATATCACAAACAGGGTATTTCCCTGAGCGTTGCAGGAGTGGATCTTTTGGAAATAGAATAATAATGGAAGTTGAGTGTAACAGAAGTTAAGGGACAGCCTATTTTTAAGCTTAACTTCTTTTAAGTAGTTGTAATAGAGGCAGAGTAGACTGAAACCTTCATCACTTGATGTCCATAATCACAGGATAAAGTTAGTTTATCCAGTTGTTTGCGTTTCAGATACATGAGATAAATCTACTTGTCCTGAGACAGAACTTTGAGACTTGTACAGTTTTCTCAATAAACTGATCCCTGCTGCTTGTTTCCATTCTCTATCTAGGAAAGATGCCCTGAAGTTTGCGCGTTATTCTGTAAGACAACAAAAGAGTGTTTAAATAAGTATTTTTAATAGTATCTTGGTATCCCATGATACTTGTATTCAGGCCTTTTCTGAAAGGTCTCTCAGTGATGGCAGAATCCTTTCATCGATCCTGCTAATTACATGCGTTATTTTAATGTGTAGATTAAAAATGTACATATGAAGATGTGTATTTAAAAGTCATACTAGACATGTATATGATTGTGAGTGATGGTTGGAAATATTTTCATTCTTGTTGTGTTAGTGAGGAATGCTTCAATTTCAAATACACAAGTTATGTACCGTTTAGGACCTGAGCTTCAACTGACTTTAACATAACCAGAACTGTATTTCATAATTGTTGAGTGCCTGTAACCAGTAATGACACTTAAAACTTAGCTTGTGTTTCAGCAAAAGGTATTTTTTAAGTTAATACAATTTTTTACTGTATGGAGGCAAATTATGGAACTCTTTCTTTTTCTTTCATTCAGAAAGCTGGCAAAATCTTAAATTAAAATACTGTAACACAATCTGTGCAGCATACCAGCCTGGGACAGCACATGAATTTCTGTTGCTCATTCCTTTCCCTAAATGAACAGTCTTCCCTTGGGAAAATAACAAATCCTTTACAGAAGAAAAATGTGCCATGGTTAGGAGACACTCAGGCACAGCTTTACTTACTTATGGTGACACTTACATGGTAATCGTCTGCCTAAGGTCCAAGAAGTGATTCTCAGAGCTGCAGCATGGGGTGCTGCCCAGAGGTATGTTTCACAGTCTGGCTCCCCTAACAGCTTGCTGACACTGAGGTCAAGGTCTTCCTCTCCCTTCCTCCTTCCCTGCTTCACGCTCCCATTGCTGGCTTTGCAGGCTGCCTTTCCACCAGCTCTGGCCGTGAGGTGAGTTGTAAATTCCCTCATCTGGCAAAAGAAGGTTTACTTTTTCTCCAGGTCATTTTTCTGTAATTTCATTGAGCTGAATTTTCCATCAAATGAGTGCTGGCTCAAGGCAAGCAGTGGTAGCATGCAGCCAGAAGTGACTGGGGAAGGAAGGAGATGATAGGAAAGAGCAGGAAACTTTTACTTTTGGTGATGAGACATTGACTTGGCTTGTGTCATGCTTGAACTGTAGAAATCTCTGTAGAGTCTAGAAGTGCTTGAAGATATACCTACACTGACAGTAGCTCCTCTGCCTGTATTCCAGCTTAGCCAGAATCAGGCCAGCTCTGATGCAGAACTGTGTTAGCTAATATATCCTACTTCTTAGGGAAACTTTCCTTTTCTTCTGGCTGTTTAACTGATTTTAATACTATACCATGCTTAATGGCAATATCACTTTTTAGGGCCTAGTTTTATAGTTAAAGTGAGCATATGCCAACTGAAATGCAGGATCAAACTGTTGTGTAACTTGTGGCTTTCTCTGACATGATCATAACTAAAACCAATACATCAATCACAAATCCAGAGCCAGAATAATACTCCAATTCACACTTATTTATTTTATCTGAGCCTGAATGTGTCTGCTTTTTCCATTTGTATCTGAAGCTGAGGGTCTAAAAGAAGACAGTGCCTCTACAGGTGCGCTTTTTTTTTTTTTTTTTGGAATGGTGACTGTTAACTTAGGAATAGTTTCTTGTTATTCCTGGGAAGCAATTCAGAAAGAATGGGGAGGCTTGTGAGGAAGGTTTCAAAAATCAACAAATGAAATTAGGGGAGCAATTTCTACACAGGACAGATGGTATTTTTAGTCATAAAGATATGAAAATAAAAAACAAATAAAGCCTATAGAGAAGGTGAGCATATAACGGGGACAGTATTATGCTTTGTATAAAACTTAGTTCAGACTGTGAGTGCTATGAATTAATGGAATGTCTTTATCACTGAATACAGCAAACAGTAACCTTTTTGTTGCCTAGTGTGCTATTATTACCTATGCTAATGGAGAATTATCAGCCAGTGTATCTGTTGTGTGTGATTGAGTAATTTCGATGTTGTGTACATCTAAGATTGATCAGCAGCACTGTCCAGGCAGAAGGCTGTGTGGTATGTTACAGCTTTAACAGTGCCACAGATGTTAAATACCGGGATAGTGCTACTCGGGGTCCTTGTGCATAAGGCAGCAGGTATTACGGACTGGGAGTAATTTTTTATAGTACCAGCAGTTGCTGCCTGTGCTTTTTGCATCCTTTTTATTGCAGGTAAAAAGGCTACAAGGCTTTCCCAAGGTTTTCCTCATATGCTTCTGTCTTCCATAGAGGGCATTGCTCCTGTCCTTTCCTTTTCTGTAACAGGTGATGCCTGGCTTTGATATGGTTCTGACTCTTCCCTCATGTTTAAGCAGCAAATTTTTTCTTTCCTTACATTAAAAAGCTTTCAGCTAAATTTGTAAACTTTTTTGCAGCAAAATCTTTGGTATGCTTCAGTGCAGTTTTTGATAGACTAAAAAGGATCATGGAAGAAGCCTAAAGTCAGAAGCACATGCTGCATGCAGCAAGCTGATCAGTGGCTTCAGCTGTTGTTGATTAAAGAAAGTAGTGGAAGGCATGGCATGCAGTTAACTCTTGAGTCTGAGATTACAGCTTGATTGCTGACAGTGGACAAAAAAGGATTGTATTTTAGGTCATAGTAGCACCTTATTTTGGAACTATCGCATTATCACAAATAGTTTGCTAACATATACAGGTATGTTTGTGGTTAGCTTTCAGCGGCTGACCCTTTGCCGTTTTTCAACAAAAGGTCTGGAAATGCTTATTAACAGTTAGCCTTATGCTGAGAGAATGAATCTCTAAGATTCACTAAAAACTATTTTTCAGAGATTTTCAGATATTCTCTTTTGAATATTAATGTTTTGGAGATGAAAACATTCAAATAATTTGAATGCATCAGATGAAGTTCAAAGTTCAGGCCAAAGCTGAACTAGGACTGATTAGCTACCAAATTCTAAGAAGAATGAAAAATAAATTAACTGCAGTGTTTCCTCTATTGAGCACTGATGGATGGGAGGTATCCACTTACTGAACACGGATATAGCACCTTTGTGCAGGCTTTGTATGTGCCAGGCTGTGGTATCTTCTGTAAACAGTAATGGGTGAGTAAATCAGATGTTATGCAGTAATAACAAGAGTCTTGGTTAGGCCTGTTATTTATCACTGGGTTTTTTTGGTTGTAATTATGATTCTGACCAAAGCAGAAAGTTGCAGTTGCATAACAGATTTCATTCTGCATTTAGTTTGGAACATGGCCTCTTTAAACATAAAGTTAGATGTTCACAAACGTTTAACGCACCTTATCTTGGAGCCTCAGAACAGATGCTGTCTGTCTTTGCATTTCTTTACATATACACATCTGTACATTTATTCAATTAAAAGCCTAGCTAAATTCACAGTCAATGAAGCAAAGTCTTCAGGAGTCTCTTGGGTATTGATTGTGATTTTTTTCACACAGAACATCCACTAAATCCTGCCAAGTGGTTCTACACTTTCTAAGGCACTAGCACTGATGCTTAAACTGATTCAACTCAACAATCCACCAGAAAACTCTACGTTTCTGCTCAATGAGTGCATTGAATTGATTCACCAAGGGATCTAATGAGCACCAAAATTAGCAACGTAAGCGGGAGAAAAATGCAATGAAGTATAGGAAAAAGAAATGTAAATAAAACCTTCGCTCTCAAACTCATGTATTTTAACTCTTGCTAGATATTATCCTTTGTATCATATCCATGCTGGATATTTAATATTAAATACTGGATATTCATACATTCAACATCAATATCTATTTAATAGTTATTGATCTTTAGAGAACTTAAACTGGAGCTGCTTAAACAACTTGAATGATCACAGATGTTTTTTTACTTTCTAAATGAAGTAATACACCAAAACTTGAGAACCTGTGATAAGGCCTTTCCAAAACTGGTGCTTAAATGTACCAATTTCTAGACTAAAATATTTTTCCTGATACTTTAAAGTCCAACTACTACTTTACTTCAAGGGATTCCCAGAATATAGGCAGCAGGATACTTGCTTGTGATGCCTCCCTTTCTTTCAGCATTTCTGTAGTCTAGGTGCCATGCAAAGAGGAGCTGAAGGCTCTGAAAGCAGGAAAGATGAGAGGAGCTAACGGCCTTGCTGTTGCAATGAAGAGAATATGGAAGCTACTTCAGAAGAGTGGTTTTCAGAGAGTGGGAAGGGACCAAGTTATTGGGAGCCATATACAGAAAAGAAAAACAGCAAGCAACAGGTGAGTGTGTGCAATAGGAGATTATGAATAGGCACAGAAGGAGGAATAAGAGAAGGAAAAAAGTTCAGTAACAAATGATAGGTAGAACAATAAGCTTAAAAAAGAAGGAAAGGTTCAATGAAAAGCAAAAGGAGGTGGCTAATTTTATGTTTTTCAACATGGACAAAATCTGCTGCATCAAGAATACCTAAAATATATTTGGTACCATTTTTATTATTTTTCATATAAGCAGTTAATGAGTTGCCATTGTGAAATGATGTGAAAGTATTAAATGATAAAATAAAAGAGCCACCTGGTGAAAATTCTGAGGCTTGCTTCTAACTGGAGTCAATAGCAAACTTCAGTTTAAAACTATTATAAATAGTATTGCTTACCTTCTTGGTACATCATAAGACCCACTGTTCACAACTGGAAATATCCTGTTGCTGAGATTTTGGTATTTTGTCAAATTAATGAGGTAATTTGTCAAATTAGCCAGTTTTGCTTCAGATAAGGATAGTTGTTTCTAAAGTTTCAAAGTAAATGGACTGGCTTTTTGTTAAACAGATACTGAAATTGAAAGTTAGATGAGAATTTTTATTAACCTGAGGTTTTTTTTAATCACTGTAACTACTGCAAGAGAGCGCTGTAAGTCACGTGCAAATAGAGCAAATTTCTAGAATTGTTGAAATCCAGTGGATATGAACCCCTTATTTTCTGCAGCTGGGAGTTGCAGTTAAAATCCTAATATTGAAAATGCCCTGTATGCCATCCGTTTACAAAGAACTTGGATCCCGTTTTCCCAAGATTTTTAATGAGAGTGAAGCATCTACATTCCACCAGCTGCATTCCAAATCTCAGTTCAGTTGACTGATCAAATGTTTCATTTGATGTTCAAATACACAAGGAGATTCTGCTCTTTGAGGACAGTTTAACCAGCTAGCTCAGCTCATTTCATGTGGCTAGGAGAAAAAGCACAAATTTGACTGTCTTCCTGCTGTGGCCAAAACAAGAGGGGCTTAATTTAGTGCAATCAGGCACTTCATTTATTTGCTAACTTTTTTTTTTCTGAGGATGCTGTGCAACATGCAGCACTCCAGAACCTATATGAAATGTGCAATTTGAGGAGTAGCACTACCCACAATATAGTGATAATATAGTTTGTGTATCAGTTCTGTGGAAAGGATGGGTACAGGCACTACAGGGTCACCTAGAACTGTTCTACCTAATGCCACTGCTAGAGGAAGTCACATTTTCCACACACTTTGCACAGGCAGATTTTAGCCTTTTTGTGCCGTGTGTGTGCAGGGTTAAGGTTCTGAACCTGCTAATGTAATTCTCTGCACCAAACGGAAATTGTGGTTTTGAAAATGGTTTATTTATGAATTAATCCTAGTAAATTAGTACTTTGTTTAAAAAAATTAAGGTACAATTGATTGTGTGTTCATAGTAAGTTTAAACGTCAGCATGCTACAAGCATGTGATTAAGTTGCCCAACAAGTTCAAAAATTACTAGTGGAAATAGACAAGATTATCTGGAAAGCCATAGACAAAATTGCAACCTTAATACTCTGATTCTCTTTTCTGTTGTACATTTTTAGACTTGGCTTGGCTTCCTTTTTGCCTTATTAGCTCAAATTTCATATTCAGTCTACTAAACACAAGTAGCTACTTCTGGTGAAGCTTAAGGTAGGTTTTACTCTTCTGTTAAGGCTAATAAATACATAGCAGTAGGGCGTAACAGAAGGGCTGTCTGCAATAGTGCTGTTACACCATTAGCTGTACCTAGCTGCCCTCATCTGTCCTCCTGCCTCTGCAGAAGTTTATTCTCATTGCACAGTGTGTACCTGCACTTTACTTTTGGTAGTGGTGATTTCAATCTGAAGTCCTACTTCCTGCTTTGCTATCTAGTGCCTATTCTAGTACTCATTGCAATCCTCTGTGATGCTGCTTGCTTCACTAACCCTGCAAGAAGCTGAATATTTTTCTGCAGCATTTGTCGAATTAAATCTTCTCAACAAAAGGTCTGGTGAGAGTCAAGGAAGATTGAGGGGTACAACACCTGTTTCAGTTGGCTTCTCTGGAGTCTTCAGTGACTGTGGCTCACAGTTCAGAACCTTAATTCAAATTCACATACAGCAGATGCTTAAGTGAAACAGAGCAGTAAAGCAGGAACCTGTTGTCAAGAGCAGAAATTGACAACAGTAAAAGAAAACAAACCATGGACTCTTCTCCTCTGTTGGTGCAATAAGGCATGAAGAAGAGTGCTTGCTGTTTCCAATTTTATAAAAACATTTTCAAAAGGGTTGTCAATTTTGTTTTTAACTTTCTATTATAGGCTGAATTAGCATTTTCCCTTTTGTTATGATTAACTTCTGCAAATATTTATTGGAAATTGTTTTGCAAGATAATGTAGAGACTGGCAGAACTTTAAGTATTGCTTAAAAAAAACCTCCCCAAACTGCAGCACTTAGCATGAAGGTATGATTAAAATATGACTAGTAACAAGTGCATTCAAAAGGCTATGTCAGATAGACGGAAGGAGAAATGAAATGTGTTATTTCTCTTATTACTTAATCTTATTGACTGTTTACACAATTCAGGAAAGGCTGAAAGTAGTCAGAAGTTACTACCTGAATAAAGAGCCGGGTATTTGAGAAGATATGCTTAAGATTTTTTGAAGGGGAGAATATGTAAGTTCTTGACTATGAAAATCATATAGTGATAGACTTGTACATGATGGGAATGAAGTATAGCCAGAACAAGCTTGAAGTGTTTGAAAGATAGGTTTTAAACCTGAGGATTCCTTCCTGTTCTCTACCACATGAAACAAGCGAGGAGAACTGTGGTAAAACTTTTGTTGGCAGATAAGACTGTAGATAGAAAAGCTTAAAAATATATATAAAAGACAAGCTTTAAATGAACATGTAATCAAGTCACAAGATCACAAAGTAATTAAACAGTGTCATTAATAACCTCCTATGGGTTATTAATGCAGCTTATTCAAGGCTGGTAATCTAGGGAAGGACAAGGAATCTTCCTGTGTTGTCCGTATTAAGTATGCATACAAATTCTACTTTATGTGAATAAACATCATTAAGACCATGGAATATTCTGTAAATAAAGTTTGGCAACAACACTGCAGTATATATACTTTAAATGACAGAGCATTATAATTCTTATTACCTGGAGTGATCAGTTATTTTACTTTGAAGTTCAATTGAAGCCAATAAAAAGTTTGCCACAGACCTTAACAAGATGAGGATCAAACTCGCAGCAATTTCATGGCCTATACTTCCCTGAACTACAGTGAGGAAGTGCACTTCCATGTGGTGGTGGTACTTTTTTTTTTTTTTGTTACTCTTCTAATGAAATCACAAAAGAACTAATACTACAAATATTAAATGCTTACAAGACTATTCATCAGAGGATTTGAGAAACCTTAATAATATGCTAGGTGTTCTTGTTTCACTGAACCTCTTTTTGCTTAAGTGATGTATTTTTCAGTTGGCAGAACCAGAGACAGCTTTTCTGACCTTCAGTTATGTGCTATAATTTATAATTATCATGACTAGTTATATATTAAATTACCTGTTTCATAACCTGATTTATAAAAAGTTGCATGCTCTAAACATCTGTGATGATGAAAGGGCAATACAGAAAGCAGGTTTTGGGAAAATGTTCAAGACGATGGGTTAATAGCATTAAATACCCTGACAGATTCTGTTCTGTCAGAACAGGTTTAAACATAAGTACTACAAAATTTTTCCTAGTGTTTGGTTTAGGCACTTTTGTTTTCCACTGCCATAGTGGATCTCAGTTAATTAACTTAAAATCAACTGCTTTTCCTACTGGCCCTTGAAAAGAAAGTCCTGAAAGTCAAAACACTAATATTTTTAAGTCTGTACACAAATTGGATTAAACATTGCTGCTTTGTTCCTCAAAAAACTACCTCTTCTCCACACCTAAGGACTTACATTTGCTGTCCATGACATTCTAATAGCAACTGCATTTTGAAACAAAAGAGCATGTAAAACTTAAAAATGTGATGACACTTACTAACTCACAAAACACCGTAGTTCACTTCTTTTTCTTTTTTTTTCCTCTGCTATCCCTGATGAATCAGAAGCTCTGAAAAGAGAGAAGATACAGGGCAAGAGTGGTTTTTCAGCCAAGAGTCATTTTATAAAATAAACTCAGCCCAGACAATTGCTGTTCAAGGGAATGTGTCCTGCAAATTGTGATGTTACATGCAAACAGTATTTGAGTTTCAGTCAGTAGATGCTTTGAGTATCTTCGGGGTCCAAAGTGCAAATTCTTTGACCACATTTGAAGTGGTGTACCTTACAGAAGGTGTAGTTTCCTACCAAAAAGCTACAGTACTCGTATGAAACAGCTACACAATCTTAGTTTCTTTTTTAAAATGAATGTCAACATTGCATGGAATCATTTGCAAATGATAGGAAGGTAGCAGTAGGAAGAATCAAGCTTCAAGTGATTAAAAAAATTTCTGTGCAATTTATATATTTTATTTAAAATGTGATTTTTCCAAATGTATACATCATTGTAACAGCATTTTAAAAATCCTCAACTCTCACGAACCCTATAACATTCCTTTCCTTGAAAGCTCTCCTGTTGTTCCCATTACATTAGTCATTTTTCAGTCCCAAGAAGTGAGCTCTATAGCTGGAGCTGCTGATTAACACATTTAAAACTTGTTACCTAAATGAAAAGGAGATAGAGAAGAACTGTTCCACCACTAAAGGCAACCTTATAATCCCATAGCTTCATTGTAACCCTGTATTTCAGTTATCAACAAAGTGACCACACACAAGGCAGTTGACTCATTTCAGTCTTACAGTGTAGCAACCTTGAAGCGCTTCAAAACACTTTTAGAAAAAGGGCCAAAATGGACTGAGCTCCCAGTGTCCCCAGGAGGAGATTCCGCCATCCGCCAAAAGGAAAGAAATTGCCGAGAGGTATAAATGACTTGTCAAAAGCTAAATCTGATGCCAAAGCTTTAGGAATAAGAAAACAGTTCTGTGTCCACTGCTGTCAGCTGAGCTGTATGCACTTTTCAAAGGGTAGAACTTGCACAATGTAGCACTTCTAATGTACCCTTTTATCTTCTAAGATCAGAGAACTTTCATCTCTACAAAAGCATTTATAGATTAAAAAACTCACAACAATCATCTGCATCTATCTCAATAGCACTGTAAGGTTCTAGCATGTTTACAAAAAAAAATCAGTAAAATGTTACATATAGATATTCAACCTCTACATTAAAATTGCATTTAGCCAGAACTCTGTTCTAGGTGTCCAACTATAGCTACCTTAATGCAGAAATCACCAGCCCTGCACATTGCTTGTGTGACCCTCCAACATGGCTTCCTGTGGCTGCAAGAAGTGTTTTCCACCATAATGCCGTTTGACCAGGAGGTAAAGGGACAGCAATGTTTTTGTAGGCTGTATAACATTGGGAACTGACATTTTAATATGACTTAAAATTAAAGGTGGCTACAATTGAAGATCTAGAAATTGTGTTGATAAAATTAATCAGTTAGTCTCTGCAGTTCTTAACTGTTGCTCTGTGGATACTGGATATTTATCTAATTTGTCGTGTCTCGTTCTACTTAAAGGTATCACTTTGTTAGTCTAGTAGGGCAATATGTGTTTATGCAGAATATTGCTGTGGCTAGTTTGGCTTTTTATTCCACTAACCAAGATACCTGCTTTTTCCACGTTTAAACTTTTCAACTGCAAGAGGAAGATCATCTGTGGAACTTGGGTAATTTCCAGATAAAGCATACCAAGTGGTTTTAACAAGGGACAAATCTCTAGCTATTTGCTTAAAAATAAAAAATAAAAGAAACCTACACGCACCTCCCCCCAAATACCCTTCATCCTGGACTTGTCCAGCACTAAATACTATGTTGAAGTGCATATCAAACAAACGTTTGAAAAAGGTAAAATTTAAATGAGTAATACGGGCAAAAAATAATAGTAATATCGGTAAATGGTAATATGGTTTCTTTTCATCTGAAATAATAATGACAAAAGTACACAAATTGAGCGGTGTGTTATCCAGAAATGGCTAAAACAAATCAACGTGATCTAGAAGCAATAATACATACATAGATGAAAGATCAACCCATGAAATAATTTTTATATTCAAATCTATTACTAGAATGAAAACAAAATCCACATAGCAATGAAGGGAATATATCAAAACAACTTAAGCAGATTTCTCAGGGTGGTTTAAAGTATTAACAGTCAGGAAAAAAAATGGTTAGTGTCAATGAAATTAAAATACTGTTCCTTCTAAAGAAACAAATTTAAATTATTAACAAAACATCAATAGTATGATGGGATGGCTCAAAGTGCATGTGGAAGAGGGTGGCAGTACAAGACTTGCTCTTTATACATTCTCTTCTTAGCACAATAACTTTTGCAACAGATCATCTCTTTTCCCAAATGGGATTTTCACTCACTCCTAGCTGTGGTGAAGATCTGTAAAACTGACATTTTTTGTAAACTGTCTTGCAATATGCAAGGTAGCACACTTTAAAAAAATATATTATATTTCAGTAATTCCCCACTACTCCAGAAGGAGATTTGTGACTAAGGGATGGGAAGTGACATAGACTTTTTAAACACTTTTGCCCCTTTTGTGGGCCCTGGGTAAGGGGGTGGTGGCACATCAGGTTGTCCACCTGCAGTAACTGCTTGCTCATAAGTTGGTAGTCCTGAATCATCAGTTCTGTGAGGAAGTGGATTTAAAGAAAACTCTTCATTTCTTCTGAAGACGATAGATGAGTTATGTCTTCTATTTCGTACGTAATCCAAGTACCTAAACAAAGTTCACAGCATTATAAGTGGCAGCTTCTGTTTTAATAAAGGAAAGAAAGAATATACAATCTGAGCTGTAAAATAAAAAAATCCCCAAACTTGCTTTGAATGATCATAAAAACTATGAGCCAAATACTCTCTCCAGACCACAGGGTAAGAACAGTTCAGTAATGGAAAACTTATAGGGAAGAAAAAGCACAGAATCCTCTTGTATTTCTTTCCGATTTAGAATGAAGGGAGCAAGCAGGACTAGAGAATTGCTAGAGCAGCATTTCTCCCAACCTTCATTTTACGTCTAAAGAAGACCACATGCCATGAAGGCATACACCTTACTTTTAAGAGCAAGCAAAATGCACTACACTTTCCACTGCAGGCCTCAACCCATTAAAGGGATTCCACTTTTTAGTGAAAATATTTTGGAGCCCAGAAGATACAAATGAGAAGGTTATGTCAGCCACACAAGTGCTGTTTTATGTTTTTGTGGGATTAAGTAACTTCAGCATAACTACTGCTAGTGCTGACGTAACTTTGCCTCCAAAAAAGGCAGAACTAGAACTCCCATTGGCTGCACCAAGAACACATTAAGACCAACCCATGGTGATTTTTAAACTCTTTAGCAACCAAGCTTTGGGGTTCTATGTTTTGTTTTGTTTTTTAATAGTGAAATTCCTTACCCTGGTGGTTGCCTTGATTTGCATCTACTTTTGCAGCAGTAGAAAATAAGCAGTCCAATTATGACTAACATTACTCCAGCAGCAACTAGACCGATGAGAAGTCCTGTAACGTTAATCTTTTGTAGCGTATCATCATCTGAAGATAAAAGATTGATTATTTTCAGACGAATAACAACATGGTGTTCTCTCCCTTTATATACTTGATGGTATACAGTATACACTGTGAAATACTAACTTTGCTGTGCTTATATATAAGGTAGTTCCTTTCTGTAGATGTCTAGGCTGCAGTGACAAGCCGTTGTGTCTGTGCAATACAACCCAAGTGTACCATTCACATTCAGCTTAAAGCATAGGTGAGCAGACATTCCCCTTTTATGTACATCTAACTGTTGAGATGTCTTTCCTTGCATGCCTTCTGAATGCTACTTCATGTACTTGTGTCTGTGGCCAGGTTGTAAATCCTTCCTCAAGTCATACTGACCTTCTTTTTATAAAACATTTGGCACAAGAAGACCCTGCACCTGATTCAGAATGTTATACCAATAGTACAAAAAAATAAATAAATAAAAGTTAGAAACAAAACCCATGGAAAGCAGCCACAGAGTTACTGCAAAGCTGACATACTGTATGATAGAACAAAGTAGTGGACAACTACATACATATTTCACATGTGCACTAAGAACAGATCCTCCATAATGAAGACACTTCAGTGATTCATTTTAGTGTGTTAGCTAATGCAATATACTTGCAAGGTTCACTATGAATTCCAGTGAAAAGATTAAATATGGTTTTGCTGACTGAATGCATGGTGCTATGTTTAAAAATGTGCTATGATAACAAACACAAGATGCAGCAGTGTAAGAAAAGAATAAGAAGAGAATAAAAAGATGACTTACCTATTTTTGTTTTAGGGCCTTTACTTGAATAGTCTTTCCAAAAATCCATCTATAAAAATACAAAGGATCAGATTTATGAGAGATACATAGCTCTCAGGTTTATTAATAATTTTTTTAATATGGTACCTGCAGGCAAAATTTAACCGTGGCACAGATAGGAGCAATTCTCACTGATGGATTTGTACTTATTTATCATTGGTTGTTTTCCTCATACATTCAAGTTTGTGTAAAAAAATTATAATTTCACAGAAACAAAGAAGAACATGCCAGTGAGCGAAAGAAAAAAACTCAACGCATTTAACTGTTCAATATTACATTATATAGAGAGAGCAGTTACTGTATATTATGGCACCAAAAAATGCTCACAATTAATCTTTGGAATTCCCTACGGAAGAGTATTAATGAGGAAAACAGTCATGTAATTAAGAACCATATATTTGCACGAACAGTATCTGAATTCACATCAACTAGGAAAAATAATAGGATTTATTTAAGAGAAAAACTTTTATGTTGCATGATTGTTGAGCATTAAATGCATTTAGCTGTAATCTTCACTTTTGCTATCCAGCAAAAGACTCCAGGAAGATTTTGACATAAGTTTCCTAGTTTTCCTAGGAAAATGCTAGCAATTGCAAAACCACTGCTGTTTCCAGCTTCAAAATAGGTGTGTATTCCTTGCTCTTTCTGCCAGTGCAGAACATACCTAGGGTCATGAAGAGATTAGTGCTGCAGGCAGCAAGAGCCATTCTTCAGCCAACCATCGTCGTGTTCCACTACTGGGACTAAAAGATTTCCTGTGTTTTTTTTCCTCTCTCTTTCATACCAGACTTCTTCCATCCATAAAGAGGTAGCAATTTAGAAGATGATGCCACAGGAACACCCAGCAACAGCTGAGCTGTAGATTTACTACTACGTACTGCTGTCTTCTAAAGCACTTATTTGGCTTGACACAGGCACAAGATCAGCCAGTTAATAAGCAGGACAAAGGGAATACATTGAACCTGCATGTTGAGAAGTTTCTAATAAGTTATCAAGAAAAATACTGAGATTCTGAAAATGCATGTGGATGTATTCGTAAGTGGTGCTTTTGGAGTTAGGTTTATATTTATGATCGCCTAATTGCAGCCCTTATCTAAAGTCTTTAAGAGTACTGTATCTAGCATGGTAACACCAGCTATTTGGGGCCTCTACTTTTACTCTAAAATAAACATCTTGGTTTAAGTGCTGTTTTCTGAAGGGGTGCAGTATTTAAATACAGTAATCATTTATTCAATAACCTTCAGTATACTAAACTCAGTTTGAACAATTACCGTTTTATCAGGGTCTTCAAAAATTTCTCTTGCTTCTTCATAATTGCACAGCTCTTCAAAGCATTCCCTTTCCAGGTTATCTGGTGTGAATGCTTCAAAATCAAATCTGTTATTCAGAAGATGTCTTCCAATGAATAAATTAGCCTCCTTTTCTGATGTGAACACTAAGAAAAAAATCAAGTTGATATAAAACAAGTTAGGAAAGCTAAATTTGGTGTTTTTAAAGAATGGTTAATATCCCAAAGGAGTGTATTATAAAGTCCACTTCTTCCCCTAGCACCTCTCAGCCACGTACAGTATAAGGAAACGTCAGGCTCTCCTCCTAAAATGTCTTTGCTGCTAGCTGTTCTTTCTAACTATGCAATACAAAATAGACATATTTTCCTTTCTCATAAAGCATTTCATCTATTTCTTATACTGGCCAAGAGAATTTGGTTCTCATGACAGTTGTTGGGAGTTCAAGTTTTGGTATTATCCCTTCTGGCATGTGAGCATCACTTTTTTGCTAGAGCTCTTAAGAACAAAGTAACTGTCACATAAAACAGAAATCCAATCAAATCCAGACAAAGGAAGACCTGTTGGAAAAAAAAAAAACAAAAAAAAAAACCTGTTCTTTGTAAAGAATCCTCAGTATACATTCCTTTCACATATTCTGGTGTTTGTGAGTTCCAAATGTTGTTTACAGAATTTGGGTTTAAAATTATGACAGGGGAGTCCCATTCATTTTGCATTTGTTCTCCTTCTTTCACAGTTGTGATGATGTCTAATGACTGAAGGAAGTTTTACATAAAGCTTGGCATATTGCCATATTTATTTAAGTTAGCCCATGATAGGAATGTAACTGACAGTAGACACTGCTGAAGACATTTAATTCTTTTCTTCTTTTATGCTTATTACAAAGTCCATAAAGAGCATGGAGTAAGTTGTAAGACAAGATTTCAGAAGGTTAGTGAAATTACAGAAGACTTTAGAATACAGGAATGCATCCTCACCAGGCATTTTCCATAGTCAAGTTTTAGCCTGTTCTTGCTACAGCTTTTTGTGAAGAAGTCATCTTTATATGATAGAACTAGTTTTCTGGCTTGGTTTTCAGTGAAGGTCTAATCTGTACTCCAAGAAATTCAGACTATTTGGTTAAGCAAGATGACTAGAGGATTATTTCTGCAAGTGTAATGCAGAAACAGCATTGTTACATGCCAAGCCAGACAGCCAAAAAAAAAAGAGATGAGAGTAAGAATGAAGTTATTCAACTACAATTTAGTTCTGTGCTCTTGTTAGCTTGTTTGTCTAGATCATCACATCATTCAGGAATTTTTACCCTAGTAGTTACTGTTAGAGAGCAAAACATTTTGAGATGCCACTGCAAAACCTAAAAACTCTTAGGAAAACTGCAGTGTAACTTGTATATTGGTTGTTTAGGCCTTTAATATGGTAGAATACTCAAAGGAGCCACACGTATGCACACGTTTGTGTAAGAGGGGAAATCTGTTATTCTAAAGCAATTAGAAGAAAATCTAAGCTTCAAATATTTGTGCTGTATCTAAGAGTAACTAGAGAGAAAGACTTCATCCAAAATATGTGAGTGGAAAAGCAAGAGCTGCGTAGAGAGAAGTATTATCAATATCTTTGTTCAATACAAATCACATCAGAGTTAACTTCAGTCTTCTGAAACAAATCTTTAGTAGTGCTTCGTTTGTTACCATTTAAGTAGTATTAGCTGTACTTCTGTATTAAAAATATTTAACCTAAATAAGATAATGCATATGTTTTAATTAATGTGAAGTGCATAAGCAGGCTGTCTGGAGCACAGTGTAGCACCTATGACCTCTGATTCCTAGTCCTAACCTGGGATATGCACCTTCTCATTCAGAGTCCTTATCCACTGCACTTTTTTCACTTTGTCAAAAGTGCACCTATCCCTCCGTCCAAATAACCAACAACATGGTGGTTAAGATAGTATATGGAGGGTGAAAAAGGTGAATTTGAATCCTCTCCCATGCCTGAGAGGCCTAGCATTTGGTTAAAAACATGTGCATACAAAGTGCTAAATAAAGTCACTCTGGTGGTAAAAGATGTTCAGAAAATGGTGAAGGGGTAACCTTTCAGTGCAGGTACCCTATACTCTTGGCAAGTGGTCTCCTTGCTAAATTATTGGATAAAAGAGTTGGGGCCCCTCTTTCCAACTCTGTCTTTAAATAAAGAGTGATCCAAGGCTTTCATCAGATGAAGCCTCTACAGAGGCTTCACAGAGGGTTCTGTGAATGCAAAGGGAAGGCAGCCCGGCAACAGTCAGTTTTATGCCCCAGAGCAATATGGATTTTAATAAATAACCCGTCTTAAGCAATTTTCTGCTGGCCATGTTTCTGCTCAGCACACTGCCCTGAAGTAGTTCCCTGCTCATATGATTTTAAGTCCCTTTTAAGGTTTCAGCATTTCTTATCCACTGAGGAGATTGGACAGCTAGCTTATGAATTGTGTTATGATGCCATGATGCTTGAAAGTATCACACTGCTCAGCACCATAGTGCTTCATTCTTTCTTGGGGTCTTCATGTGGTTTTACTTCCATTCCTCTTCAGCTCCCTCCAAAGTGGAGAATTGCAATAGCAGCATTATATTTATCTCTCAAGGTGTTGTAAGGGCATTTTAGATGATTGATATATTTTCTGAATACCAGAAAACAAGAAAATGAATCCTTTCAAATGCAAACCAATTTTGGAATGCAAATGTAACTGTGATGTGATGTGCTCAAATAGTATCAAAGTAGTACTCTCTTAATACAGATTTCAAACTTTTGTTTTGGACAGATAGTGCTTAGAGGATTCTGCTTACATCAGTAACGAGCATCCAGAGACCTAGAGAAAGGTCAGTCTCCACTTACTACTGCATCTGATAAATATTTACAACTGACAGCCAAGTCAATTATCAGTCATTTTAGCAAAAGATATCTAAATGTTCTAAAACTAAGAATAAAACAATTTAAAATAACTTCTGATGAGGTAAAAAATCCCTAGTATTTACACACCTATAAAAAGATTTCTCCATAGAAGCAAATTAGATACAGTTTTATTTTAGAAAGCATAAAGTTTGCATGAAAAGTAAGTTACCTTCTTTCCATTCATGCTTCAGGTTATTTAATCTCCCTGTGCAATGAGGAAATGCAAACACCATCACATGTAGCTGACCCAGCAGTACCAAAAACACAAACATGGCGTGGTATCTGTCAGACGGAAACTATCTTGAGTTAAAAAAAACAAGGCAAAACAATCCTCTAAAGTGTCAGTGATGAACCTTGAATGAATCTTATACATGAAGTCATCTAACACAAGTACCTACATGCAATTTAGATTAATAGAAGAAAAATTCCAGTCCAAACTGGTCCTGCATGTCTTTAAGTTTTCATTGCATAACGTCCGCACAGACAGTCATCACGGTCTTTCTCAGCAAAGCAATATCCTCTCTTCTCTTGGAAGAATGGTTAAACAAAGTTCAACCATTTAAACCAGGTTAGCTGCCAGGTCATCGTTACAGGGAAAGATCACTTCAGATGGGCTCCAAAAGTTTAGATAGCTATCATTTTGCTGCCAGACCAATCGCAGTGGTTTATAAAAGTTACGCTACAGAAACGCACGAAGAGAAACCACCTTGCCCAGTGATGAGTCACCCACTTCTGGCCCGGGAGAAAGCGATTAGCAGCGCGCTCATGCCTAACAGTCTTGAGCAGGGCCCGTACTCTCCCGTCCAAGAGGGCTGCCGAAGAGACGGCAGGCAGCAAGGCATCGCC